CTTCACGTTGCGTTAGCAGACAAATGCGAGTGTCAGGGGACAGAAAGCATCTCATTTAGAAATGTGTGGCTGAGATCCTGTTTAATATCGTCTCTTTGTGGGTAAAATGAAACCGACTAGATCTCAGAGCTATTCCAAGTCCAATCTCTATAGCTCTGAGCTAATATAAACAAGGCGCTCGCAACACCAAGGTCATGGGTTTGATTCCCAGGGACTACATGAACTGATAAAACCTCTGAAAGAAAGTGCATTAGTAGTTTTGAAAGTTTAGTGATCTCACAGGTTTTCTTGGGTTAAAAGGGTTTTATGCCTCTTTATTTAACAGACTGCTGGACAGACAGAGAGAAAGATGACAGACGTACTGATGAATAATTTATATTCTTTTGCTCAATAAAACATTTTCTTCTGCCAGCCTTCACACAGAAAATACAAGTTCTGCTCTTTGGTGTAGTTTTGCATCATGATGTATGTGTAGCGGGTGGCTGATCATTTCTTTAGCTTTATTTCTGTTTGTTTTTTTTATTGTTGCGTTGCGTTGTCTCCATTGTTCCTAGAACATCCGGGTCAATTTCACGAAATGGCTCATATTTCATCCTAGAAACTCAAAAGAAAGCTATGAAAAGTTATGTATGAATTATATTTTATGTAAAGAAAATGAAGCCTATTTTCTGGCAGTATTTTTTATTTATTTGCATTAAGGTAATTAGAATGATATTTTTATTTTACATTATGGTAATGGTGGTATTTATTCATTTGTTTGTGTATTTGTTTATTTGCGCTATGTAATTAGAATTGTTTTATTTTTGCATTATGGTAATGATAGTGTTTATTGATTTATTTATTTGCATTATGTAATTAGCATTATGTTTTTGTTGCATTATGATAATGGTATTTATTTGCGTTATGGTAATTAAAATTGTTTTACATTATAGTTATTTGTTTAAATATTTGCATTATGATAGATTTTTTTCCTAGGGCTGCACGATTAATGGAATGCGATTGTCATGTGCATCTCGTCTGTAAAGTCGGTTCTGTGATTAGTAGTAAATCCCCATAACCTGCTTTCAGATGGAGCAGCATTTATTACACAGAGCCGTAGTTCACTGACAAGCTACGCTTTCATAAGTTATTATGAAAGCTGTTTGCGTAGCTTGTCAGTGAACTACAGCTCTGTGTAGTAAATGCTGTTCCATCTGAAAGCACATGAAAATACCACATTTAATAACATGTTTTTACTCCAAACATAACGCAAGTCGAGTGTTTAAAATCCTTCTGTGAGACGATGTGGCTTCTTACACAGAATAAGGCACGCAACATATTTGATAGTATTCTAAGCAGTGATAATGGCTTTGTCGATTAGCATTGCATTATTATATACTTTATTATAATAAAAATTATAATAAGACGAACTCCGATAAACCATATATTGTCATAGTCGTGTGTATATTAGTCATGTTGAATTAATGAAAGCAGTTAAATCTTCTGTTTATTCAGCAACCGCTATAGGGATTTCCTGATTTCTTCTTCGGGGTGTATTTGGAGTTTCAGCGCGAGAGCGCCCTCTGGCCTTTGGATGGAGATTTACTGCTGATCACAGAACCGTGCTTCACTGAAAGATACGCATGACAATCACAGCTTCTGTCTAATCGCGATTTATCACCTTTGCGATTTAATTTCGATTAATCGTGCAGCCCTATTTTTTCCTATTGTGGTAATGATGACATTTTATTTATTTATTTGCCATATGGTAATTAGAAATAGTTGTTTTATTTTTTGCATTATGGTAATTATTATATTTAATGATTTATTTATTCACATTATGATTATTAGAATTAAATAGTATTTTTACATTGTGACAATTATGGTATTTATTAATTTATTTATTCCCATTATGGTACTTAGATTTTTTTTTTTTCATTATGATAATATGATATTTATTTACTTATTTGTGTTACGAAAATTACAATACATTTTTTATTACATTGTGGTAATGATGGTATTTTGGTAATGGTAATGTTTATTTGTGCTCTGGTAATGAGAATTATATTTAAATGTTCAAGTGAGAATAATAAGAATGACAAAAAACAAAAAGGCAGAAATTATTATGCAGTATATCACTTAGGGCTGGACGATATGGCCAAAATTTATATCACGAGTGATAATAGCATGGTAAAAACATAATATTATCATGTTACCATGTCCAAAAAATGTTAATGTCCAGTGAAATTAAAAATGGATAATTTTAGCCAAAATTTTTATAAATTTTTTTATGCCTGTTGAAGTATTATGTTGTTAGAAACATGCTAATGACAAAGAGTACCATGGCAGTATGTAACATAATATTGGTGTTTTATGCGTACTTTATTAACTAGGTATATTTTTGTTAAAGTATTGTTGCTGCAGTGTTAGCTTAGCAACATGTTATAAAAGTGTTGTGGTAGTATTTAACATTTGCATTTATGTATATTTTGCTGTATTTTATGCTCATTCAAGTATTGTTGTTTCACTGTTAGCTTAGCAACATGCTAATGACAAAAAAATGTAGTAACATTTAGCATGTTTAACATTTTTGTGTTATGTATATTTTGTTAATTCGAGTATGTTGCACTGTTAGCTTAGTGTCATGTTAGGCTAATGATAAAAAGTATATTTGTCGGTGCTGTGTGAATTTCGCACTTATTTGAGTTATTGTTTTGTACAAGATTTTGAACTGTTAGCTTAGCAACATGCTAACATCAAACACTAACTGCGTCCCAAATGATGCACTATACATTCAAATGATGCACTATACACTATGCACTTATACACTATGCTACTTGTGCACTATGTACTCAACCATGTAATGTATGAATTTTATAAGGTTATTTTGTCATTAATAATCTGATTCTGATAACCCCTCTCCCTTTGCGACTTAAAGCTGTGACATTTGAGTGCATAAAGTATCCAACATTCCACACTTTGTTTTTTCAGTTATTTAAGTGCATCATCCGGGTATTTAAAGTGCACTTTTTTCTTTTGGAATTTTCAGTGTGAACGCACTACTTGCACTATTTATACTACAGAATGTCATAGAATAGTGCATAAGTACGCGATTTGGGACACACCTACAATTTGGAACTCTAATTAGGCTATATAATGTTGCATAAGGTTTATTTTTAGTTAGCATGCTGCCTTGTAGGCACCAAGGCAGTTCACTATTGAGTTTAGCTTGTGCCACAATAGCTCTTCACACCATCATTAGCATATCCATAAAAACGATGACTCTTTCAGAGGTGGCAAAATGACGGCATCAGACTGTTCTGTGTGGGATGTGGGTTCACTTATTCATGGCCGTTTCTGTGGGTAGCATCGCCAACTCCACACTATTGCTCATCTCGAATGCGTGGATGTTAGTCATGGCATTTCAGATGCAGTGATGATTACGTGCAGAAATGTCCTGTATGTGTTGATCTGGGTTCAGTTCGTCGTGTTGAATCTGTGGTCCATCCGCTAGCAGGCTAAACTGGTTCAGCACAAGCAGCCGAAGGCGACTTTCTACCATGTGTCCTCCAGACTGCTTATAAAAACGTAATAAACACTGAGAGAACGATCCAAACAGCCGAAACACAATCTGTTTCACCTAGTTTCTAAACTAAAAATGATTACAATTATTAATTGAATGCCCTCAATGATTAGTTGATTAAATACCATTTAAACAACATGTTTAACAGACTCATTCAAATCATGGAAATGCCATGATATCTAGATGAAACAGGAAAGATGAGACATGTTTAGATGCACATTTTAATGAGGCTTATGTATTTTCATAAGAATAGTTGTGTTTCTATTAGGCCTATCATGTAGATCATCTATTAAGTGACATCCTGCCACCCCTCAATGAGTCCGTGTTTCATAGAACCTTCTAGTGATGGAGAAATACACCGGCGCCCTCTTCAGGTCAACACACTGAAATGGATTGAATGGTTGTTTGTGGTACATATTTGTGACTAAACTATAAAAACTGCCTATTACGTAAAAAAATCTAGAAAAAAAAAATTTGTAGGCTGGAGTTTATATGCATTTATATTCAAGATATAAATGATTCTGTTTTAAAATGTTTATTTGTAAAACAACTTTTCTATTTATTTATTTATTTTGTATTTATTTTTTATGACATAAATCCCAGTAACAAAGTTTGAATTTGTGCTTTTAGATAAGCTTTTATTTTCATATTTCAATTAAAGTCAACTGGCGTATATATACAATTTTAGAAATACTAATCGGTACATACTAAAGCAAATCAGAATAGTTTTGACATAAAATATGTACACATAATATGTAAACATCACATAAAATAATCTAAACATAAAATTGAACATATAGCTTTTAGGACATAGCAATATTACTATCAAATTTTGGTTTGAATTTAAATTATTTCATTATTTGGCTAGAAGCAACACAAGAGGCGTGAAATTAGAACAGCTAATAGGCAGTGTTATTTTAGTCTGATTTATATACTAATACAGTATTAAAGTTTTGAATTAGCTTTTATTTTTGATTATTTTTTCATACATTTTTTGATTGACTTTTTAGTGATCTTGTTATGTGGTTTTGTCATTTCTATTTAAAAATTACTACTATTTTTATATTTTTTTTAAATAATTTTATTTATTTTTAATTTGAGTAATTTTAGTATTTCAACTTCATCTTGTTTTAATTAATAAAAGTGTTTTTATCTCATATTTATACTCTATTTCATTTTATTTCAATTACAGAAAACTATTTTTAATAGTTTTAGTTAACAACAACACTGATAATAAGAAATTAGTAAATGATTCAAATTGGGGTCATTATTATAAAATATTCAACCACAGAAGCTCATTGCTGGTTGATCAGAATCATCATTTCCATGTTGTGTTTTGCTGTCTTCATGTATTGTCCACTAGATGGTAGCAAAGGAGTAAAAGTCCTTACTAGATGGGTTTAACGTTAAAAGTTCTAATGTTTGTCTTTCTCTGTAGATCACGGGGGCGATCCTGCTTGCAGTGGGATTATGGGGGAAATTCATTCTGGGTCCGTACATCTCTCTGATTGCTGAGAACTCCACTAATGCTCCCTACGTGCTCATCGGGACCGGGACCACCATCATCGTGTTCGGACTGTTTGGATGCTTCGCCACGTGCCGCGGGAGCCCATGGATGCTCAAACTGGTGAGTTTAACCTCAGGGAGCACATTTTACATCAAATGACGCCCCTAACAGCTAACACGTCTCTCTCATCTCTAGTACGCCATGTTCCTGTCTCTGGTGTTCCTGGCCGAGCTGGTCGCTGGCATCTCGGGCTTTGTTTTCCGTCATGAGGTGAGACGTGCATATGCATATTCTCCGGCGGTGACCCATAATGCTTCTCAGAGATCTCCATCTGTCTCGCACTAGGAGGGCTTGTTCTGGTGACATCTGACAGAGTGTGTGTGTGTTTACTCAGATCAAAGGCACCTTTATGAGGACATACAACGAGGCCATTCAGAACTACAACGCCCAGGACGAGAGGAGCATCGCGGTGGACAACATCCAGAGGAGTGTACGTTCAAACACTGGTTAACATCAGTTCATCGGTTTAATACTGTTTATCTAGTGTAAGGAAAAATGTGTCATAATCTGCATTAAAAATCAGGAAATCTAGACAAAGACAAAGTTAATTAATAACTAGTTCTTAAAGCTTTAAATTTATAGTTTGCATGTCCGTTAGACCAGTGTTTCCCAACTGGGGTGCCGTCTGTCGAGAGCAGGGGTGCCGTGTAAAAAAATCATTTTTTAAATATTTTTAAATTGCTAAAATGTTCAAAAAAGCAGCTATTATATAATATCCATTTCTGATGTTGCCAATAATTAGAGATGCACTGAAATTCCGGCTGCCGAAAATTAGTTCACCGCTCAGGATTCACTTTCACGTGGTGTGACGCTCTGCGTATTATCCCGCTCTATGCGTGTGTGTGCTCCGCTCAGTCGCTCACGGCCCATGTGAGTGCTCCACTCATACAGGTACATCTCAAAAAATTAGAATATCATGAAAAAGGTCAATATTTTTTGTCACTCATTTCAGAAAGTAAAACCCATATATTATATAGATTCATTACACATAGAGTCAAATATTTCAAGCCTTTATTTCTTGAAATTATTTCATTTGTAGGCCTATCGTAATTTCTTTATTTGTTCTTATTTTATTATTAACTGCTTAGCCTCCTTGGCATTTTTTATTCAATTCAAAGTTTTAAATCAAGCTATCTCATGCTACTGCAACAAAATTTCCCAGCTGTAAAATCAAAAATACACAGAGTGAGCAAAACTTTGTTTAATTACCATTATAACTAGCTATCTCACAATGTTTACATATGAATAAAAGCCTACATTAAAATCTGTCATATAAATTGGTCTTTTCATTAGAAATTAGCCTACTGATTGCCACCATTGATGGACAATTTTTTTTATAATATAAAAAATATCTGTATGACATTATATTCTGCAGTTCTTTCCTGCTGTACCGAATATCTATACTTTTCAAAGTATCATATCAAAGTTAGAAATTCAAATATTGTGACAAATTTGTTAAAATTTCCAAAGGGTGCCGCAACTAAAGAAAGGTTGGGAAACACTGCGTTAGACTGATTGCTAGTTCTTGCTGAGATGTTACAAGTAATCGCTAAGGGTTTGATAAGGTATTCCGGGTGGTTATGTTGTTTGCTAAGATATTTTCTGGTTGTTAGGCAATTGCAAGTGCATTCTGTGTGGTTGCTAAGGTAAACCTGGTGGTTAGGGTGTTGCTAAGATATTTTCTGGTTGTTAGGTAGTAGTAAGGGCATTCTTTGTGGTTGCTAGGGGGTTTCTAAGATATTCCTGGTTGTTAGGGTGTTGCAAAGATATTTTCTGGGTGTTAGACAGTTGCAAGGGCATTCTGTGTCGTTTTCTGGTTGTTAGGTAGTTACAGTGGCATTCTTTGTGGTTGCTAGGGGGTTGCTAAGATATTCCTGGTGGTTAGGGTGTTGCTAAGATATTTTCTGGTTGTTAGGTAGTTGCAGTGGCATTCTTTGTGGTTGCTAAGGTATCCCTGGTGGTTAGGGTGTTGCTAAGATATTTTCTGGTTGTTAGGTAGTTGCAGTGGCATTCTTTGTGGTTGCTAGGGGGTTGCTAAGGTATTCCGGGTGGTTAGGTTGTTTGCCAAGATATTTTCTGTTTGTTAGTTAGTAGTAAGGGCATTCTTTGTGGTTGCCAAGATATTCTGGGTGCTTGGGTTTTCTAGGGTGTTGATAATGTGTTCCAGGTAGTTTTAAGGGGGTTGTTAAGCAGATAGATAGATAGATAGATTGAGATTTAGCATTACCTGTCATGAGCTCTGATCTGTATGATATTCTTTCTGACTGTGTTCAGTTGCGTTGTTGTGGAGTACTGAACTACACCAGCTGGTTCTCCAGCGTTTATTTCCCTGTGAATGGAATTCCTCCGAGCTGCTGCGCTAACATCTCAGACTGCAACTCCTCAGACCTGCGAAACGCCACCATAGCGGCCACCAAAGTCCATCAGCAGGTAACACACACACACTTATCAACCACACACACTGATTGTGTTTTTCATGTACTTATAATGCTTCTGTTGTGTTCAGGGCTGCTATGAGCTTGTGACGACTTTCATTGAGACTAACGTGGGCATTATTGCTGGAGTAACATTTGGAATTGCATTCTCGCAGGTAGGATGGACTTAAGGCCTGTTCACACAAAGGACAATAACGATAAAAATATAGTTCTAAAAACCATTCTCAATGTTAAAGAATAGCAGAGTCCACACCACAGCTATAACGATAAAGGCACAGAGAAACGATATCATTGGAATCACTTCCAGAGCAATTTTTTCCAGCTGATGAACGATACAAACATTGACGCCCAATCAGAATCCATCCTGCTGTCACAAGCTCGAGAATATCATCCGCTGGTATGGACGCTAATATCGTTATCTTTATAGTTACCGTTCTTGGTGTGAACGGAGCTTTGTTCTTTTTCCTTTTTGTTTTTTTTTTTTTTTACAAATTTTCCTTTTCCTTTTTTTTTTATACATTAAAAAAAAAACATTCTATATTTTTTCTTTTAAACATTTCTTTTTTCTTTTAAACATTTAATATATTTTTATTTTAAATAAAAAAAAAATTTTTAAACACTTATTTTAAACATTTTATACTTTAAATATTTTTAAAGATGTTCTACACTTGTATTTTAAGCATTTGCTGTTGTTTTTTACTTTTTTATATTCTACACTTATTAAACATTTTATTTGATTGCTTTTATCTCTTTTAATATTCTGCACTTATTTAATATTCTATACTTTTATTTGAAACATTTGATTTTAAATAGTCACACCTATTTTTAAAACATTCCATTTGATTGTTTTTACCTTTTGTTTTAGATATTAATAATTTTAAGCCTTAAATGTAAAAGATCGCTGCTATATATATAGAAATGACCTCTTGATTGGTCAAACAAAAAGATAGTCCCGCCCCAAACTCACACAGCTGCTTGATGGTATTATCGAAAAACCTCGTACGCCGTTAATTTCATCTAAACATAAGCAGGAATGTTTTTCCTCTCCTTGAGACATAATAATCACGTCTGAGGCGATCGTTTGCGAGCTAATATTTACTCCAATCTGTTTTCCATTTACCGCTGAAGCGAGCTGAACAGCTGGCTGCTGTTGTCTCGCACAGGTGGAGCGGTTCACGCCGTCTAAATGAGTCACTGGGTAACGGCGCGTCTAAAAGCTCGAGCGAGAGCCGCGCTGCCATGACAACCCCACCGTGAACGCCGACCCCGGGCTGTCTGTGTTTTCCCAGCCCTCATTTAGTAAACACACATAGACACAGGCGCAGGAGCTGAGCGTGTGGCGCAGCTGGGGTTTGCTAGCGAACGTGCCGCTTCAAACGCAATCAGGCGCTCTGTCACTCACGCTTCCGCCTCGGGACCATTATGCAGATATCGCTCCATCCGCACTAATGGGTCCAAAGGGCTGCGCAGGAACACCTCGACCCCTCTGCCGTGCACACGCGATGCTAATTGAACTGTAAACGTTATCTGCGAGCACACGGGGGCCCGAATCAATGACATCTCTTAGGGACGTCTAATCTTCCGCCGCGCACGTGGAATTCTTTTGGCTCGGTTAAACGGGAATCAGTAAACATTCATTATGATTAGAACTAGTATTTGGTGCTTGCGGAGAGAGCGAACCGTAAACCCGGGAGAGCAGCCGGCGGTAACGACTATCGCAATTTAATTTAATTAGCAATTGACGTTGGGAGAGGGAGCAAAAAAAAAAAAAAAGCCCTGGGAACAGCTTTACCATGGTAACGGCCACGTGCGTGTGTTTTTCAGCTGATCGGGATGCTGCTGGCCTGCTGTCTGTCACGATTCATCACTGCCAATCAGTACGAGATGGTGTAGATGGTGTGGTGTAGCACAGGTGAGACGCACACACTCAGTCCGTTAAACACATGAGCTACTGACTAGCTTTAGCCGTAGCATACTCTCATTTGAAATGGACTGCAACTCATCATGAGACACAAATAGCTCACAGGAGAATCCACTCTCAGTGGAGTTTGGGGTTAGCATGTCGTAAAGATGCAAATGTCGGATAAAGTATTAAATAAAATAGAAATATTAAATAAAATCGTTTCAGTACGTGTTTTTTTCCCCGTAGAAGTCAGCATAATTAATTTGCGTTCCCATTAAGTATACATATATAACCAATTATATACTTCAAATATAATTAATAAATCAATAAATAATTTAAAAATTAAGATTTTTGGCTTTTTGCTTCTAATGAATTCTGGGTAAATTCTCTGAATGCAACGAGATGTTTTCTTAGCATAATTAAGTTTACTTGTGTGCATTATTGATGTGAACAGGCAGGTACATATAAAATATATATATATATATATATATATATATATAATTATATAATATATATTTGAAAATCTAATTAAATTCATTTTGAAATAATACATATTTTTTTTAATGTTAATTAAATATATAAATACATATATTATTTGTATGTTTCTTTGTTGTTTTTTTAAGTATACGTGCAACGTTGCCTTAGAATTTCATCAAATTCTCTTTGTAAACCAACTTGATCTAGCCTCTTTGAATATGCAGAAATTTTAGAACTGTAGTGGAGTGGAGGAATTTTCAGTGAATAGTGACTTAAATTTCAATCTCCTCACCAAAGCTGTGCTAAGAATACTTTGTGTGTGAGAATGTATTTAAACCTCTTTCCCGTTTCTACAGGCACAGAAGACGTACGACACCTTGGAAAGGGAAAGCAACCCAAAAATGCTAGCACACTCTTTCTCATCTTTTTATTCTCTCCTCTTTTTATCTTTCATTCTGTCTTTCCTGCCTTCTATTTTTCTCCTTTCCGTCATTCCTTAATCATGCAGTTGTGCCATGACCAAAGCCTCTCCTTTCGAAACGTCAGCGTTAGCGAGGAAAAGGAAATGGTTTTAAGACGTACTCCTGCGCACGCGTACTTTACTCTGTACAAAAACCTTGCATGCGGAAACCATCTTACACACACTAGAACTAAAGTCAACAGCGTTTCTGTAACACCGCGTCCTAACCAGTCACATACAAGCCAATCGATATCGCAATCACTATCTAGCTGCATATCAAATATGTTCAGGTTAGCTGTGGTTTTGTCTCTTTTTCTATTTTTAGACAGAGAAATTACTTAATATTTGGAACATAGACGCAACTCAAGTGTGGTTTGTTAGATATCTATCCCTTTTTTGAGAAGAAAAACTATTTAAAAGTGTTTTTTTCTTATCTATCTGCCATTTTGCTAGCTTGGTTTCTATTTGTCACTTTGCAGTTGGTAGCGCCGCCCACAGTGAATTCTCATTGGTCCAGATTGCTGTATATTACACATCAAACATTCTGATTAGCTATTGTGGCTTTGGGCAGTATTTTCACACATCTGGTTAGGACAAGGTGTTACTTAACCCCTAAAAAGAGACTTCAATGCAGATTTGTTAGTTAATTGCTTTTTCAAGAGGAAAACTTAAAAAAGGGGAAAAAAATACAGATGACAAGATGTTTTTGTTGTTGTTGTTGCTGTTGTAAAATCTTTGGCAAAGGGGTTTATCTCAGAAATGGCTTTTTTTGTCTTCATTTTTTGCTCCACATCTCAGCGCTGGGTTGAAAGTGACTCAACAAAATCATGTACAGAGTCAAAAACATCGATTTTGTCTTGTCGTGAAAGCCAAAAACAAGCAATTTTCTGCCACATTTAGCTGCGTACAGAACTCAAATACAATTAGACTGAAGATTAGACTGACAACATGTGCCCTTAAAACTAGCGGCTTTTATGTCATTGTAAGACAAGGAGATATTTCAGAGTACTATCTAAACACTGTTTAATGGGCGGTTTAATGGGTAATTTTGCAGTTTATGCGTTGTTGTTACAGTTTTACACCATACCTACTTTGCGAGACACTGTATTTGCTATTATTTTGTGACTTTTTACTGTAAGAATGTAATCAGCTCTGGGAATTTTCAATCTGCATGAGATATATGAAGGATAACAAGAACTATATTTCTAAGAATGCTTAGAAAAATATAATTAAAAAATAGCACCTTACAATAGCTCTAAAAAGGTTAACATTTGTATGAACGCTTTGTGAAACATATATATATATATATATATATATATATATATATATATACACACACACTGTTATATTACTTTTTACTCAAAGTAAAAATAATAATCAGCATGTCATGCTAGAGTGATTATGTTGGTAGGAGAACAGCTCTTAAAAACAGATAGTTAAACGCTGGAGGAATTTGATTTACAACACTATATAAAGTGGAATAATCACAGGTTTTCTGGAGGTGTTCTGCATAATAAAGTGCTTTGTTGGTTCATTTTTGCAAGAGTGAACCAAGCTTTAGACAAACAATAAATTTATTGTTTATTTATTTGCATGTGTGGTAGAAATCGCTGCAGTCTTTGGCTTTCTTGACACTTTATTTTGAATCGTGAAGCACCGTCAACTGAATTCCATATTTACGTGTATCAATGTGCATTTCTCTTTTTTAAATTTCATTTTGTGTTATTGTTTTGTATGGTTTTCTCATTGATCATTCATTCTCATTTAGGACGTGTAGCTGTTATATTAATGTCAACCCATCATTTCTGCAGCTGCCCCTTGTGTTGATGGGTCTTTAAGTATTAGGTTCCAGAATTCATAGTCTGAACACACGTGATGAACTACACATCTCCAGATAGACGAGCGGAGTAATAATATACTTTGTATAATAAAAAGAAAACTTTTTAAAATGCATCACCAGCTAGCATGCCAACAAAATGTACGTTGATATTGTAAACAACCGTGATCTCTATGAATAAAATGGTTCTTCGTCGTTATCAGCTTCTGGGTTGTCTTCATTTGAGGTTTGTGTGTTTGTGGTTGAACTGGATGGATGGGGATCATGTGTAGGTCCATACTTCCTCTTTTTTTCCCAGACACCTTCTGGTCCTGATTTCTAAATTGGGTAAAAGGTCCAGGTTTGGCTTTGTTTTCCTGTTGACGTGCTCTCTACTGTCCTTGTACGTACATTAATTATAAACGCATGTTTGCATTGCTTTTGACCATTTTCTGTAGATCCCACCATCTCGAATGCCACGATTGGTCGATTATACTCCTGCCTGCATGGTATTGGTCAAACTACTTTTCAGTCATTGCCTTCAGCAAGTATATAAACAATAGGAAAACAAAGCGAAAACCCGGACTTTTAAAGCAATTTAGAAATCTCGGCCAGGACATGTCCGGGAAAAAGAGGACGTATGGTCACCCTAATGGTGTGAAAATGGCCTCGCTTGTTTTATCATGGCTTGAAGGCAGAACGCGGTTCCCTTCCTGACCGCTAGATGGCACCACGATGTTGTTGAAAAACGTAACGGGGCCGCAGGAGATCTCCGTTCATTGGGAAAGCCCATGCAAATAATCATGCAGACATGGATTTTAATGCAGATGTTGTCTTCTGAGAATAAGATCATATATAAAGAACATATCTAATG